ATTATTCTTTCTCAATTTCTGGCTCTGTTATTGCTAAGGGACAAGACCCAATAGCCTATAAGTTTCCTTCCATCCTATGCTTACCTTCAAGGGTTCAAAGCTCATTGACTGGAATCTGTATATTAACTACAAACTAGAACAATGTGATTAGATATTCTGATCAGCTAGGAGTCAAAAATTATCCTGTTCCTTAACTTAAACTGTACCTTTAGAATATAAAATTTCTCGGGTTATAGAAATCATGTGAGCTATTTAAATCAAAGTTAGTTCCATGTAGTATAACACTGGTTCTCAGGAAAAGAAATAATACCCCCATCTGTCTCTAACTTCCCAGTGCAATCTGTATTAAATACAATGGATGAAAAATGAAATGTAATGAAGAATTGAGACTATTCAGTAAGGAAAAGAAAAACCAAGCAAGCATGCATTTCCTTATTCCCATTCAGACCCTAAAATGCAATTCACAATGTGGCTACTATCTGATTTTGTAATTTATTTTGCGATGCCACTGTAGAAGGCCAGTGAGGATTGCTTTCAATAAAGAGAGAGATAGAGAACACCAGCAGTAAAAATATATTATTTGTATTATTCTATTTCCAGCCTTCACTATGGTGTAATATGACTCAGAACCAAGATGGAGAGATGAATGATTTTTTTTAAAGATCAAAATCATTACTACCACTCCGTTGAGAATCCTTCAGTTACAGCTGTGATTATACATGCCAAATAAAATTTTAAAAAGCAAAGAACTTTGCATGAAACTTTACTTCAATTCGAAGTATGAAGGGCAGTACAGAAATTTCAGAAGGTTACTTTATTGTACTGTTCATCAACATTTTGGCTATTTTAATTTGAGGTGTGGTATTATGTTAGCAAGGCAGCTGGGGCTTTAACATGGAACCTCATATTCTGAAGTTAACTAAGAAAACTTTCCAGAGACTTCATGCTTTTCTTTGTCTTCAGTACAAAATAGTCATAGGCATTTGCAAGGCTGATCTCTGTAACTGGCCAGTTGATATGACCCCCAGATTAGCTAGATCATGTCCAATACTTTGTTTTCACAACCATCTAGCCACGTACTGCTGAAGGCCCCAGCCAAGAAAGGTTTATAAATTCTTGTCTCCAAGAGCTCGTTTTTCCAAGCCCCAGTATTTGCTTGATATGCCACTGATTTATTTGTGACAAATAACTTAATGTTTATGTGCTACCACTGTAGTGCATTCTGTTTGGGTAAAATTAAGAAACTATTTGATAGTATTACAAGTACTTTACCATAAAGGATTACGGGAGTTGTTATCTCCCATTCTGGATTCCAACCTGTACTGTAGTTCAGAAATCCTGGAATAATAATTCTGATCTTCTATTCGGGGTTATTTGAAAGTAAAGTGAGAGAATGCATATGAAGCATTTTGAACACTTCTCAGAGCATTAAATATGATTGTTCGTAGGCAATACTCTATTTTACATCGCGCTGTAGTATATAACCCCTACAGTTAGCATACGTACCCTGTTTTTACAAAGGTTTGTTGCAAAATAAAATCATTACATCATCAAGGCATCATGCAGTGTAACCAACCAAAGTTCATACTGGCCGTGTGCCTTTAGTGAAGTTCAACACTGGAGAAAGTCCCAGATGGTTTAAAAGACATTCTTCAAAGAGTATTATTTTCCATGTAGCTGATGTAGAAAGAGGTCAGGTTGTAATGTTCTTTATTGCTCAGACATGTCTCCCAAACCAGATGGTCATTATTTCCACGATGAGGACATCCCAGATTTAAAGCAAATCATCCATCCTCTATCCAGTCTCCCCCACTACATCATCCCCACTTGGCCATTTCTCCGATGACCATTCCTGCCCTCTATATATTTGTGCCAGAACAAAACAATCTAAGCAACTTTATACTCGTTGACTTCAGAATTATTTTTAGAATGCCATCAATTAAGAAGCTACATGAAGTTTATTGCAGGTGGTAGGGATCTGATCCAACATATATTATTGTAACTTTGTACAACACTACAGGCAAATGTCTGTGTGTCTTAATTATGTGCCTGTTTCATTTTCTATCAGCATGGGTGGTGGTCAGGTGGCCACTCATGCCCTAGTCACCTCACAAATGGACTTTACATGAAGCTGCCCTTGAACGCCACTTGGAAGCTACAGCTAGTCCAGAATGCAGCAGTGTGGGCTGTAATGGACATGCCACAGTATGGCCATGGGACACCACTGCTCCGTGAACTGCACTGGTTACCAGTTGGTTTCCAGATACAATTCAAGGTGGTGATTACCATCTATAAAGCCCTTCATGGCATCAGGCCTGGTTATGTGAGGGACTGGGATACTTGGGATGGGGTTTGCCTATCTCCAATAGTTCCTGCCTGTCTTAAAGGATCATACAGAGGGATTGCGCTCCAGGTCTCCTTAATGGCATCTATTAGGACCTAAGAAGCATGCCTTTTCTGTTGTAGCACCTACACTCTGGAAGACTATCCCCCAGAGATCTGTTTGGTTTCCACCCTGATGATATTCAGAAAATCATTGAAAACATGGGTATTTTCCCAGGTCCTGGAGCAGAATGGTTGCTGAGCCCCTGTGGGATTTTTTTTTTTTTTTTTGGTCTGCTAGGTATGGTTTTGTTCTGGATGCATATGACCTGTTTTCATTTTATTGTTTCCTGCTTTTAAAACTGTAAGCTGCCAAGAGCTATGTAGAGTCAAACAGCATCTTGTATGAATAAATAAATAAATAAATTTCATCATAAACCATCAAATCACACTTAAGTCATTATTTTAGCATATTTTACTACTACAGGAGTTCTCAAACTACAACACCCCCCATCCCCTGCAAAATAAATGAATTTGTGTGACTCCATACCATGAATAAAACTAATAATTTAATTGGAGTCAGAGCTGGACAAAAAATATATATAACACTCATTAAAAAAGATACAGCTTCCTTGACTTAATTTTATTTTCATCAGTACTACTAATAGAGTGATCATCTGTAGCTTTTCTCTTACCACCCAACAACATTTTTTCCATTTTGAAATTTAAAATAGTCACTAACACATACTGTTCTACAGACATTCCAAAGACTTTGGATATACTATTACTTGCCATGCGAAATTACCATCTGGTGTGAAATCACTCCAAACAAAGCTTTGCTACAATTGGTGGATGGTCCTGACAATGGCTAGACCCACGTTAAAACTCACTCCAAACTTTTCTCTCTGATGGCCTAAGCAAGCCCACTGCAAGTTCATCACCCAGATCTTCTTGGTATCATTATTGGAGAAATGTACTTTTAATGTACCTTTTAAATGAATTCATTTTATTATTTTTTTTACTGAATACTGTTTATATTGTCTTATGTATTGTGTATTATGCACTGTGTTGGTTTCCACTGTAAACCACTTCAAGAAGCTTCAGCACAGAAAGCTGTTTATAAAGATATTAAAAAAATAACAATTAATAAATTCAAACAGACCTGCTGTCAAAGGCATTGTCAAAGTTTTCCTCCCTGCTTTGCCAGCACAAGCCTCCTGTGGGCTTGCTCAGGCAAAGCAGGAGTGAATTTTGACAATGCCCCCGCTTTGTTTCATTTCCCAATCAGCTTGCATTTGATTACAATCAGCTTTAAAAGATTTTGTAACTGTCCACTGCTGCTCATGATCTCCCCAAGGAGATCATGAACCTCTTCACCGTTGAGTAGAGATGTAGCTGTAGCATTCTCTACTTCCTTGATTCATTTTATCGTAAAGCTAGACAGAACGAGAGTATCTAACTAGACCTTTGAGTACAGTTGCTCCAAGCATTTAAATGAATCCTTTGTGAAGTACCCCTCCCTGAAATGCTGTGGTAAGCGTGCTTTCTGGATGGCCTGATATAGCTGCTTTCCCAGGTTGCCAGTGTATAGGTCTCGGTCTGGGTCTGTGTCTGCACAAACACTTCCACTGCAGCTGCTGGCAAAGTGAAGGGGTTGTGTGATGACCTGAGAAAGCCCTTAACACATCTGCCTCAACATGTTGAGAAGGGATTGTGCCCTCGCGCCAACAGACTGCAAAGCATCCTTTCAGGGGAGTTGTCCAGCCCTGCGATTCAGGACAGAAGCTTCTTAATTTGTGACCCACAGAAATATTACAGAGAACAGCCAAGAATATCTGTACTTGGCTCTACTCTTCTATTTAGTTTTGAACAGAGACAGACACCTTTTTTTAGAAGAGCCAGGTTCTTAAACAGGTTAAAAAGATCTTGCTTAAGGCAGGTAATTTTCCTCATACACCTCATGGAGCCATATTCCTCACGGAGCCATATTCTCATCACAACAAAGGTGGTCTTCTGAAGGACCCAGCCCAAGTGGTGTGATTTTTATAATTCTGCACTACGCTGCCCAAGACTGCTAAGAGGGGGAATTCCGCAGCCTAGACCTGACTACAGAGAACATTCTCTGCCACATCCTATACAGAAAAAACTCAGTGAGAATTTCCTGAAGAGATTTCAATATAAAAAGGTTCACACCAAAGAATATAGTCAATGGGTAGACAACTTCACCTTTTTCAGTACAGAGAAGTAATTCAAGCACTTTTTTTCAGATCAAGGCCATTCTTACTCTTTGAATGGCATGCAGGGGAAATGCTCTGAAAGGTAGGACAGGAGCACAAGTAAATCTGCCTTAATTTGTTTTCCCTGTATATTTAATAATTTTTTCCTTTTGTCACAGTAGAATGAAAATTCAGGATCCTGGGAGTCACGTTCAAGGCTTTCACAGGCATCAGACACTGCACCCTGTTGTAGACTAAAATAAGTTCCTTAATGTTATTTCCTGTTATCTAGTCACTGCTGGATACATTTCAAATTATAATTCTATGTACAATGTGCCTTTAGTCAGTGTAATAGACAATTGACAAAATACTTCACACTGATTCTTTAAAAAAACCATTTTTCAAATTAAATGCTCATTAAATAAGGTACACTAAAGCCTAAATAAAATCAACATCTCTTACCTGCAAATGCTAAACACCCAATCATCAAAGCAAATGCTGGAAGGATACAACAGGAAGTCATTTTTGCCGCACCCCAAATTCTGCAATTATCTTCTTTCAGTTGTTCTTTGTGCCAGTGCCTGACCTTAGAAAAGGATTAATGAGGATGCTTTGAAAGTCGTCCAGCCTTTTAATGACCTGAAAAAGTGTTTAAAAGCCAATTTTAGAACATTGCTTAAGCAGACATGATTTTATGTTACCTTTCCACAAAACAAAGATGGCCAGCATATTTTAAAATAATCTTAGTTTCTAAACATCAAAGAGAGCAGAGATTGTCTTCTTGTCAAAAACCTCATTTTCTCTAGCTTCAGGGTGTAAGTCAAAGCCTACTACACTTCTGCATTCTTGATTCAGTGGAATACCACAAACGAGAAAGTAAGGAAAAGTCTCTTAGATAAGGAAAGTGGCTATAGAATTACTCTGTGCTCCTTTTAATAATATATTGTATGAAAGTCACTATGGTGCATTAAGCATTCATACATATCTGTCTAAAAGGTAACTGACCTAAATGCCCTTTATTGATTTGAAAAATCCAATCAGTGGCACTGTAATTCTTGTTTAGTGTTTTTTAATCCTTTGAATAACTTAGATAAGTTATAATACATTGCAACATTTTAGAGCATCTGTGTTATAAAGAGGGTAGCTTCCCCCATCTTGTTGTCCCTGAGATGAGCTTGACTTTAATTCCCAGAAACATTAGTCAATGGTCATAACTCTGTGCATCAGATTTTAACTGTAATGGTTTTGAAGGATGTAAAACCAAAAAAACTGCCTATTATCTATCATAGCACCTCCAAAATCCTGTAAGGTGCAGAAGATATTTTAATCCACCAACTTTCTTGATGCTCCTTTTACATTTTACAGGATATGCCATAAAGATCCTTATCTCTAACCCAAAAGGTCCCAATAAGATGGGAATCTAGTGGGGTTAGGTGGCCTTATAAATCAAACCAAATCAATAAATAAATAGATGGAGGCGTCAGAAGAAACAATTTTGCTAGGATAGGGGCAAAATGTCCCTTCCAAAATCTGGCAGTCCAGTGCCAAAACTGGATATGTTGGGTGATTTTCTTCTCCTTCTAATTGAGCCAAAAGGTTCCCTTTGTTTTGACTTGCCCCATCAAGCGACAACAGGACACCCTGCCACGGTCTCAAAGGTCTTTTTTTTTTTTAAAGGACAACCTTTAAAATGTCCACTCTGGATTGTGTTTGGATGTTTTTGTTCTCAGTGGCTTTAGTTTCTTTCTTAGTGACTTCTATTGGTATTATCTTGTACTACAGTTAGTGATTTTATTATATCATTTTTAAAATTATTATTATAAGCCCTTCAGTTTAAGGAGGGAATGTAAGACATTCAGAATCCTACTGGGCTGCAGTAGCATATCTATCCCAAGGAACAAGTGACTCAAAAATGCTTGGTTGCAAATACCAGTGTTAACGCAAAGGGAAGACTTAGAGTATTCCGGAGATCCAAAACAGAATGCTAAACGCGAATACGTTGATATGCATGTTTGACATTTGAACGCATTCCCCAACACACACACAGAGACCACATGGAAAGCTTACAAGGCAGGAGAAGACAAGCCTTCTCCCTGACGTGTTCTTGGTGGTTCTCGATTCTTCCTCTCCTCCTTGCTACACACTCATGCGCAAATTAAAACCATCATTCTGTACATATGTAGTAGAAGAACATTTTGCTGTTGATTTTGGAACAAAATAATATGTTCTTCACAATTCATTCCAAGGCTAACCACAGATTTACTGGAAGTTCATCTATGGGTTTCCAAAAGTAAAAACATGTGAACTATATGAGGCTAGATATGCTTTTTTTCTTCTTTCAGAAAAATAAAATCCTTTTCCAAACAGTAAGACTGCATTTATTCTCCTAACTGAATCAGAATCAAATCTAGAAAATTGATTTTATGCTGCCCTGAAATCCTATTTGAATGAAGGCTGATATGTAAACGTTTTGAGAACAAACACACACAGGAAAATAAACAAACAAATAAATAAAACAGGTGCTATCAATGCAAAGCAAAGATTTTTTGGAAATGATTCCAAAACCCAAATATTAACTATCATTTTAGAATGCATAAAGTATATGCCAGTAACACTTCACAAAGAAAGTTATTTTTTCCAACAAAATGGGAATCAGATCATTTTTAAAGAAACCACCGTAATTTATGGTTCTGCATGCAAACTCATGTGTAGTAAATCCTAGGATGTAAGGCATAAACTACAACACTTATTATGTTCAGATGCTAATACCAGCCAGGTTGGGCCAGCTTTTGGTGGCCCATTGCATCACTGAAGAGTTTACGAGGAGGGATGAGGGCTGCAAAGTAGAAAGGCCAGGTAAGATAGTTCATACAGATGAGGCTGGGCAATTGGAAGAGGTTTGGTGGGTTCTCTTGTTTGCTATTCACCATGTTATGTCATTTAGGGATTCAATTATTCTTTCCATGAGTTTGCACCCTCAAAATGATAGTGGGCTGTGCTATCCGTTTTCAGCAATCATGTTCAGCAGTGATTACCTGCTCTTGTTCTAGTTGAGTGCAAGGAATTATGCTCGAGCCTGACATTTATTTATTTATTTATTTATTTATTCATTCATTCATTCATTCATTCATTCATTCATTCATTCATTCATT